CTCATTCTCCTTCCTAGGGTTCCTTTACTGCCTCTTTACCCCAGAACACCAAACCCTAGCCGCCATATCCGTTTTTGAGCTAGATCTTGCCTTGAAGAATGCACTAAAGCTTGGAGGAGGAAGAAAGACCTTGGAGGTGCAAGAAGGGACTGTAGATCTGGGATTGTGGAGTCATTTCAGAACAATTGGAGGTAATAAGCTGTTGCTTGGACTCCCTTTGCACCTAGATCTATTCTTATATGTGAGTTTTGGTCATTTTTAGTATGATATGTAACCAATCCGAGTTGGAGGTTCAGATCTGAGGTTGCTACCTCAGATCCATGTTTGTTTTGGTCTTGAATCCCCTAAAGTATCAGCCCTTGGTATGTTGAAGAAGTATGTTTGCCATAAACCCGAATTTAGGGTGTTTTGAGCCTAGATCTCTTAATCTACACGTAAAGTTTGCCACTTTACGTGGGGAATAGTCCCTAGAAGTGTGGATCTATGAGTTGGAAACTCTCTTTGGCTCGAAAAGCCACTGCATGGATTGAGGACTGGACAGACTCGACGAGTAGCTTGAAGACGAGGAGGAACTCGACGAGTAGGATGAACAACTCGTCGAGTCGGATGAAGTTAGGCATGGACTCGGCGAGTTGGATGAACAACTCGACGAGTTGGTTGAAGATTGTCTAGGACTCGGCGAGTCTGTTCTTGGACTCGGCGAGTCAGATCGCGAAACCCTAAACCCTTCGAGTTGAGACTCGAATCAGTGAGTCGGGTGGTGACTCAGCGAGTTGGACAGGACAGGACTTGGACCTAGTTGGACTCGGCGAGTCATGGATTGACTCGGCGAGTCGAGTCGCGAATAAGAAAGACCCAGAGCATATGAACTCGGCGAGTCAGTAGATAGACTCGGCGAGTAGGGTTGACCCGGAAGGTTGACTTTGACCAGAGTTGACCTAGTGACCTTTGGAGGTCAGTTGAACTAAGTGTTATATTGATATTGGTAGCTTGAGGAGCTAGTGGAGCAGCAGTCGAAGTCAGAGGTCAGGTAGCAGTCAAAAGGATTAGCAGCAGCAGTTCAGCAGCATCAGGTGAGTTTCCTTCCAGTAGGGACGGGTCTAAGGCCACAATGCCGGCCCGTTCAGTTAGCAGTAGTTTCCGGACTTCGGTCCGATGCAGTAGTTAGTATGTTTGATGCCTTCGTGGCTCAGACAGGATTTATGTGCTATGTGTTATGTGTTATGTGTTATGTGTTCCGGGCTACGGCCCGATGTAGTATGCAGTATATGTGTTCATGCTAGTTGATATGTTATGCTATGCTATGATTCAGTCAGTTCCGGACTTCCGTCCGATGCAGGGGGCAAGGCCCTAGTTAGTCCGGACTTCGGTCCGATGCAGGGGACAAGGTCCCAGTCAGTTCCGGACTTCGGTCCGATGCAGTTAGTTCCGGACTTTGGTCCGATGCAGGGGACAAGGTCCCAGTCAGTTCCGGACTTCGGTCCGATGCAATTAGTTCCGGACTTTGGTCCGATGCAGGGGACAAGGTCCCAGTCAGTTCCGGACTCCGGTCCGATGCAGTTTCCGGGCTTCGTCCCGATGCAGTGGGCAAGGCCCAATATGTGTTTATATGTTATTGTATGGTATGTGGTAGTTTGGGGGAGCTCACTAAGCTTCGTGCTTACGGTTTTCAGTTTTGGTTTCAGGTACTCAGTTTTCAAAAGAGGAGCTCGGGGAGATTGCAGTGCACACACCATAGTCAGTTAGCCTGGGAATGTTTGACTCTGATAATGATATTATGTTTTGAATTAATACTCGAGAATTTATGTTATGACTTATGATACAGTTTTTATATTTATGATTCTAGTAATGCTTTTAAAGAATTTTTTTTGGTCGTGATTTTTGGGTCGTTTCAGTACAAGTGCAAATGATCATATTTCTCACATAAGTTATCTCAAGACCAACCTCATGCATCTTTGAAATGGGAATTTGTCCAAGTAATAAAGACACATTTGCCAAACATAACTTTTATGGACCGTCCTTAACTTGGATGATGTATCTATTACACAATATTCGCATACCAGATAGCTAGCCTTATATGCAAGTAAAGCATGTCTAGAATATTGCCACAACATCTTTACAACGTTAATTTTATATGTTTATGTATACAAATCAAATCCGAAAATATATTTAATTGTCATTTTAAAAGTGTCGTTTAAAATGTATTTTCATGAATGCACAACATATACATATATTATGACACATAACACATAATTATATGCAAACAGTTTTTGAAAATTTTAAACATTACTAAAACATCATTAATACACAAGGACAAATATTTTAGATATGTACTCATCTCTAATAAGTCCACTAAAAACTTAATGTATCCCCCTTCGTCTCATACCCGGTTTAATCCGCCAAAGGACTTAAACATAAATATAATTTTGCTTAAGTTATTATATTTTTTATAATCTATTTAGTTGTATTGAAAATTAGTAAATACATAATTATCTATTTTAAATTATAAACGCACCACACCATGCTTCTCTCTGTTCTCCTCCTTTATAATAAAATCCCTCATAATTTTCTTGAAGATTAATACAAGTTGTATCATATTTGTCTTGAAGAATAACATGGGCTATATGATACACGACACTGGTCGTATGGATCTTGGTGAAGTTGATATGGATTGTGTCCCTTGAAGTGGGGCACTCTTTTTGGTAATGTATTTTCGGGAGAAATTTGAAGAATGGGTCGTGTCATACAAGCATACTTGACATGGGTCGTGTAATATAAGTCATACTTGACAAGGTCATGTCTCCCATGTAACTATCTTTTGGCAGTTTTCCTAAGTCTCTATTACGGGACTTCATTTTGACATGTCAACTCATATAAGACAACTTTGGGAGATCTTTTTGGGGGAGATTCTTATTAGGAAACGTTATTTTGGTTTATTTGTAAGTCATATTGATGTGTATATTTGATGCACTAGTTTTTTATTTGTAATTCTTAGTTTATCACATCTAAACCACACCTTACATGTAGTGAACCCGATCGAGTATAATATAGTTTTGATATGCAAAGGTGTTGAACACAAGGGGAATGATGGTGAATTAATTTAGAATTTTTGATCATAGGTTACACAAAACACATAAGTAATAAGAAGAGTTTTACTAACTACTTTAAATACCACTTAACATCAAACATCGATAAACTGAATGGAAGACAAATCCCTTTAGGTACTTTGGTTTAGACAAATTACATCTTAAAATCATAGATAATTGCGCACACAAACTTATTTATTTATGTTCACCGATTGTCTAATACGATTAGGTTCATGCTCATTAATAATAATCATTTGATTTCAACACAACTATTAATTTATTGATCAAGTGAACAAACAATCATGCAAATCAGTATCTAGTCTGTATCAAGCAAGCTTTGATCTTATTTAACCCTAATGGTCATAGGAATTAAATCATGTATGGAATGGTCGTTTTACTCATCCACACATATTAAAGTTCACCACTTAATTCCAAAGCCTAGGTTTTGGTCAAAACACTAGTGGACAATTTTGATTCAAATCAACACAGTCAGATGGTCATCTAAAATCTATCAATTCAGCAATAAGGAATAAGTAACAATCTCTAACACATATGGATCTTGCAATAAAACTTGACAAAATAAATTAAACACGAATAAACATTCCAAATAGCAATTAATCCACAAAATCAAGCTTTCATTTAACCATAAACACAAATCAAAGGGTTTTAACACCCAAATCAAAAAGTAAATGTATATAGAATCACATTTGAAGGCTAATCTTGGTCGAAACAATGAACCACATGATTACTGGTATGAATCTGCTTTCCAATAATTCAGATCTTCCTTCCTGTCAGCTTAATGGCCTTACGACCACCTTCTAGACCCTCAAAACGACTTCTTGGGGGTTTATAATCACAGGAATCGATTTAGGGTTTAAGATATATCATTATGTCTAATTTTCGTCTCTATTTATAGGTTTCAGTGTCAACACGGCGTGTTCTTCATTAAGATCCCGTATTCCCCAAGTCCACGTCAAGAATCGCGAAGATTCCATTCACTATGGCGTGTTCGTTGGGAATCAACATTTTCTCAAAACATGAAAGTCGTCCGAAATTGTATCTAGTTTTCAGATCAGTTTGAATTTCGTCAATTAGCGTTACGATTCATGAGATATGTCCAAAACATTCACAATGGGTCAAGCTGTCTAACAACATCCTTCTTTGTCTTTTTTTTTTTTTTTGTCTTGTCTTCTATTTTCCTGCTCCCAACTTCTCGTATGCTTCCTTTTTGTTCCGAGCAAGTCTTCGTTGCTACAAAACACATTTCAAGCATAATAAATACCTTTTGTTCTAGAATTAACACAAAATGTAACGTACAATAATAATGATCATGTATGAAATATATAACTAAATAAGCACACATCAAAATACCCCACACTTGATTTTTGTTTGCTCCCAAGCAAAACTGAATTTTAAAATACCAATACCGCACAAGACAATCCAAATTGAACCCAACCATTATGCAACAATCGCAACGCATGTATTTGTGTTTATATTTTCCTAAGAACCTCCCTAATCCGAAATACTCACAATCTTCATAAACACTTGCATACTTCTTTTGAACAACGTTCATTTCATGTATCCCTCCAAATCCATCCCCATAAAACTTTCTTTACCTCAAGGTATTTTTGGTTAAACCTCAAGCATACATATGAAAAAATAACCTAAAAATAGAAAAATACAGTAAATAACTTGATAAATTTCTCCTCTGAATCTTTGATGATGATATTTCTTTGAAAGATTCGTCAAATTTGGCAAACTCTTTCTTTTTCACAACTTTTTTAATTTTTTTTCTTAACATATTTATTTTTTTCACTGAAAACTAAAATCCTAGAAAAACATATCCTCCTTTAAGCAATAAAATTTAACTTACCTAATGTATAATGAGTTAAAATATGGATAGAAATGGGAAAGGTTAAAATATGGATAGAAATGGGAGTCCGTTTTCTTTAACTGGAACCTAATATTCTAATGATCTACAAAACGAAGCGATTGAAAGAAAGAGAAATATGGCGGACAAAGAGAAAATGGTATACGATTCTTCATCGTCTTCTCGTGATCAGAGCAACGTAGAGGAAGAAGATTTGATGGCGTTCTATGGGTCCGAATCCGGGTGGGTCGAAGCCCGTACCCATTGCGATCATTTGGATACACTCTCATCGGATCTAACCCACATTCCGACACCAGACACTCCCTGTAACAGGTTCCACATAAACCCTAAACCCCAATCATGTACAACCAAATAACATCTCGCGTCATGCCAAAATCGATTCGAATTTCTTCATATATTAACACGTTTGTATTCGTAAATAATCAAAGTGTTCAACAAAAGGTTTAGAATTTACTTCGATTTTGAAATTGAAAGATCAACCTTTTTCGATATCGAAAGCTGAAGTGCTAAAACACTTTATATAAAGTTGTAGAAAATTGGTATTTGAGCTTAACTATGTCTTATTTTGGCTCCAATGGATGCAATTAGGGCATAAAACAGTTCAATTCTAATTAAGTACATGGTTTATAGTTTGAATCTATGATCAGAGAATAATCAAACCAATTCAAATTACAAACTTCAATTGATTTTGTATTCAATTTGTCGATTTAGGAGATGATTTTTTTTTTTTTACATGATGAAGGTGCCAACATCCAGCTGAGAATTGGATGTGTTTAAGCTGTAAGGATGTTTTGTGTAGCCGATTCATCAACAAGCATATGCTCGAGCATTATCAACAACAAAATCATAGTGTAGCATTAAGTTACAGGTATAATAAAAAAGCAAACATTCTTCATAAAACCCTTTTGGGAATTTATAATTTCTAAAAGTTAATTTTTTTTAATGTTTGTTTCTTGTTTCAGTGATCTATCAGTTTGGTGTTTTTCTTGCAATTCGTATTTGGATGCTGAGGTTATCCTTCCTCTTCGTTCTGTTCATGAAACTGCTTACATATTGAAATTTGGTGAAGCTCCACCATTTCGGACTATTGAATGTTTGGAAGTAGGAGATAACAAAGTAAATGGCTCCACATCAGGAAATTAGTAGTCTTTCTTCTTTTTGTGAGGATGAGGTTATATTCGAAATCTTGTTTTATGCTTATTTTATATGAAAGTATCTAAAAAAAACTCTTGGATGGGTTTTACTTAAGAACGAAAATGATGTGTCTTGCCATTTAGACTATATATCACATGGAGTGAGGAGGGCATTCATGTTTTTTGCACACGAAATATGAACACTGTTGACTTTTTTTTTTTGGATGGGACAAAAATTGCAATTTTTGCTCGTCTAAATTCTGTTTTGTTTATTGGAAAAGCCAAGCAAATCGATACAATATGCAAATGGATTTGTTTAGTTTCATCCATTTCTCGTTTCAAATTTAAACACAATGCTTCCCATTATAGTTTTGCATTGATCGCGATCTTATATTCTTTCTGTGTGCTTACAAATCTTACTTCAGAAATCTGAGATGAGATATTGGAGGAAACTAAACAAATTCATACTTTAAAAAAAGAGATTTGTTTAGTTTCCTTCAATTCTCACTTCCAAGTTAAACATACTCTTGTTGAAGGTATACGTTTGCAAATCTTTTTGTTTGTTTGAAAATCTTACTCATTTACAAATCGGAGATGAGATATTGGAGGAAACTAAACAAATTCATACATTAAAACAAGATTTGTTTAGTTTCCTCCAATTCTCACTTCCAAGTTAAACACACTCTCGTAGGTGGTGTATGTTTTCCGGTTTTCATTCTTATATATAGCCTTTAAATGGGTCACAAGTTGTGGATGAATTGGTTAGTCAAAATGCACAAAGTTTGTTTTGACACACAACTTGAGTTTTGTCAGATCCCTTGTTGCTTTATTGTTACTTTATGAACGGTTATGTACTTATGTTCCTACACGATATCAACTTTTATTTTTTATTTTTTATTTTTTGGAACTTGATGTAGAGAGAAAAATTAAAGTTTTATGAATTTTAAAGTAGTTTTTTTGATGGTTTTTTTTACTATTGCTTAACTACTTAATACGGCTGAAGTTGAACATTTTTTTGTTATAATATTCCGATCATTTAATATTTTGTAACCACCAAACAGTTTATTGTAATTTTGTATTTTATCCCCTCATCTCAATATTAGTTTATTTTATCCTTAGGTTATAATCGACAACTATTGTAAATATAGTAAGAACATAAACGAACAAACCTAGGTAGTAGGGCAAGTCGGTCAAATCCACAAGGTGGTAAAGTTTATGTTAAGAGTAGTTAATTAACTAAACTATGTGCCAAATCTTAAAGCAATTATTTGAATTCAGTTAGAAAATTTTGAAAGTTTTATAATTGCAAAGATGTCAAAAGAATCTAAGTGGTTATGAGATGGAGACTTTATTTGTGAGTAATCGAAGTTTTCAACAAAAGTTGTAGAATTCAATATTTTTTGGAATTGAAAGTCAACATCTTTTGATCTCGAAATATGAAAAAGTTAAAAACATGATATCAAGGCCCATAATTAGAATTTGAGGTTGTTTAGGTTAAAATTTGAATAAGTATGCTTTAATTTTTGTTGCAATCAATGAAATTAGGCATAAGACATTTCAAACACCTAGCGGAATAGCTTTTTTATTATAATTTTGGAAGAAGTTAAGAACCAACCTAGTTTATAAGGGGCATATTTTTTTAAAAGGGAAATCTTCCTTCTTCGGTCATTAACTGTTCTTTGTTTCTCATTATATTTGGTTGGTTTAAATTTTTATATATGGAGACTTTTACTTTTTATTATTTTTTCCATAAAAAAGTAAAAACTAACATTTATTAGTTAAAAGAGCTGAACCCGTTAATTTATTAGTTAAAAGAGCTGAACCCATTAAGAAGTTGGAGATGAGGTATTGGAGAAAGCTATAGAAGTATAGACTGCACTTAATACTTATGGATCGAACAAAACCAAACACCTATCGATCATACATCAAAGTGGCTTTGGCCTAGTGTTATGATGAGTTGATGGATAAGTCGTCTTTCAGCCAAAAGGTTTAAGCCTTGCTGTAGACGAAAGATGTAGATTTAGAACTAGAATAATGTGTGCATATGTAAGTCATTCTAAAAAATAAGATCATATATACCGGCTATGGATCACACAACTTGTAACCATCTAATCTAACTCTTGGTAAACTAGTTGTAAACCCGCACAACACAACAATAAATAATTTTTAAAGGTGCTCGGTTCGGTTTAGTTTTTGCATAGAATCAAAATCAGTTAGTTTGACCACAATAGTTTATATTTTATGAAGCTTGACACTTTTGGTCCTTGATGTTCCTTCGCTGCCTCTTACTTCCGATTAAATACTTACAAAAATACCTCTATCTCTTAAAAAACTCACCCGCTCGATCGTCTCTCACCACCACCGTAGAAACCATCATGAACGTTCTATGCAACCCTAAATCTTGTTTTCCTTCCCTATCGTAGAATTTATCCTCCACTCTACAACGCCATTGTCAAAAATCGTTTTGCATCTTCACTAACTTAAACAACCATCCTCAAACCTAGATGTCAGCTTGTCGATGATTTTGTGTGTGTGTGTGTGTGATGACGTTTCCCCCAAATCGTAGGTTATCTGTCTTCAAACGCCCTCAGCCGGTGTTGTGATGTATGAGGTCTCCATGGTCGAAGGATGAAGGTTTGAGACTATTATCGGCCATACTACTACCCCCTTTTCTTCAACACCATAAAACGACCGTCCAGTTCCCACCATCTCTTCCCTATTTCCTCTTGTGAATTCAGTACCTTTTAAATAAGGGGGAGAAAGAAGATCTAATGCTGGGAAAAACTAATGACTAGGAACACAGTGTTTATATTGACAACGCAGGTGAATATCTTTTTGCATTTAAAGGTATATTTGTTAAGGGTGAAGATGTTGGTTCTACAACTATTTCTTCTATTTCTTTTCAACCAACCACATGAGTTATCAGTGTAGCCTTCCTTTTTTTTTTTTTCCTTTGATGCACATGAGTTTACCATTTTTGGGTTGTGTGTTCATTATGATTCCGAGTCCAAAATCCCTGGGATTTTGCACACGAGTTTACCATTTCTTTTCAACCAACTATTTCTTCTATGTGTCAAGACCAAAGCTCAATTGCCATATATGCTGAACCAACTAAAGGTATATTCTTACGCCAGTTTATAGCCCGTGGAACCACGATTACAAAAATTATTATTTTTTTATAGTAAAAAATTATAATTATTAGTCATTTATTTTAAATAAATTATTAATAAAGAGATTTATATTATTTATGTAAAACTATAATCGTCGATTCAAATAAATATGTGAAATCATTTTTCAAGATATATGAGAGTTTTTATTTGTGAATTAATGAAAAAAAATGATGATATTGTATAATGAAATGTTAAATTGATTATAAAAATAAAACAATCACAATAAGTGAAGTAAATTAAAATTAGTATATAGCAAATTAGAAAATTAAGATGTTGAAATAAACATGTATGAAAAAATATAACAAATTACAAATGAAATGTCCAAGATCATGGACCAATCCACGCCACAAGTCTCATTCTCTATCATGCAAGAGACATGTTGCAAACCTATCCTTTACGCCATACAGGCAAAAAAATCATGAACGCGTTCTTCATATCTGCAATCCAGTGCATGCTCACAATGGGATCCTTCTTCCCAAATATATATATGTGGTCCCATAAGCGTGAAACTCACAAAAGATAACTCATAAGCCATGGGATAATCAACCCTCAGCTCGTTGTGGGTGGCTCTCAGGCGCTCATCCATCATAACTATTAGCTCCTTCTTGATCGTGTCGAACATACCCGACAAATCCTCCAAGACGATCCTTGAAAACTCCGCAACAATCAAATCACGGATCTCCATATTACCCGATCCAGAACAAGAGCCTGAACTGGATCCTTAACCATCTCCATGTTGGGTCACGACCATGCTGGAAACACAACAACAGAGTCAAAACATGTAACACTTCAATCCAGGTAGTTACCCTTTATGCCCTTGAAATGAACTTTTATTGCAAATTGGTCCCTTCCGTACGCTGGGCGTACTTATGAGTACGCTTAGCGTACGAAGGTGGAATTATCACGCAGGTGAGCCACGTATGCGAGGCGTACGAGTTGGTATGCGGGGCGTACATGGCAGATAGCCAAAACCCTAATTTTTGGACTTATGACCTATTTAAGCAACCTTTCACTGTAACGCCACGATTCTCGAATACCAATTTATGGTTATAAATTCTTGTGAATTCAAGATCTATTTGACGAATTGGTTTCCTGACTCGTCTAGTAGTAATGGGTTTGGGCCACGTGTTTAAGTGACCAACTCGCTGAGTCGGAAGAGTGACTCGACGAGTTGGAGCTGGAGGGTGAAACCCTAATTTTTTGGGTCTGGCACCCTACTTAAGGGATCATTAGCCTCCCTTAGTTCATTTGCAGCCTCTTGAGAGTCCAGAAACCCTAATTCGTGTGAGTGTGCTCAAATTGTGTGTTTTAAAGCTTTGGAAGGTGTATCTTTGTAAGAAGAACTTGAAGAGCAAGTGACTAGGAGCAAAGGACATGTAGGGATCTGATATCTACTTCAGATGGCATCTCTTGGAAGGTATCAAGTCGTTACCTTGACCTCATTTCATTCTAGATCTCACTTGGTTAAAGTTTTGGGCTTTTCTAGCATATTGTGAAGCTATTTTTGGGTATGAGCTCAGATATGAAGTTGTAACTTCAGATCTGAACTCTCCTTGGTCTCTAAATCCATAAAGCTATTGGCTTTGGCAAGTATGAACCCCTCCTTAAGTGTAAAACCCCATTTCAAGCTTGGTTTTGGCCTTTTGAGTCATAAGAGCCTTAGCATGGCTTAAAAAGCATCTGTATGGATGAAGGATTGAAGGGACTTGGCGAGTCGCATGGTAGACTCAGCAAGTCATATAAAGATGGTCATGAAACCGATGGGTTGGATGAACAACTTGGCGAGTCCGATGAAGATTGCCTTGGGCTTGGCGAGTGGCGTGGTGACTCGGTGAATTGGCAAGTTATGCAAGGAACTCAGCGAGTAGCTGAGGGTACTCGACGAGTTGAGGTCAACATGGACTGTTGACCTTGATAGTTGACTTTGAATTTGACCAAGGGTTGACTGTATTGACTTTTGAGGATAATTGGTAAGCAGGTATTTATGAGTTGGATCTGTGATGGTTATAGGTGTTGGAGTTTGGGGTAGTGTTTCGGGAGCATGATTTTGTGGTTCAGTCCGATATTTGCGAGGTGAGTTATCCTCACTATATCAATAGGGTCTAAGGCACCAAGACCGACCCTTTATGGACTGTATTTGGATTATTGCATGTTATACTTACTGATTTACATCCTGGTAGTTAGGATGGTGATATGTTATGCCTTAGTGACCCGGTTGGGTCAATATCCTGGTTATAGGATTTTTGCTATGCTTTATGATCTTTTAGATCGGTTTGACTATTATATATATATATATACACACACATACTAGTGTTATATGATATCTATGTGCACATGATTGTCCTGGTAATAGGATGATGCTATGTTAGTGACCGGTTGGGTCTGCACCCCGGTTATTGGGATGTTGCTATGATTAGTGATCTGTTAGATCGGTTTGACTGTTATATGATATGAGCTAGAGTATGATACTTATGTGCACATGTTTGTTTGGTTGGGGGTTGGGTTGAGGCGGTCCTGCTTTGTGATGTAGGCCAACATACCCGGTGAGTGGTTTGGATAGGTTGTAGGCCCTACAAGGCGGTCCAGTCATTCCGAAGGCTCGGGAGTGGTCTAGATAGGCTGTAGGCCCTGCGAGGCGGTCCAGTCAGGCTAAAGGCTCAATATGCATGTTGTTCTGTATTTGTTGATATGATATGATTATGGTTATATGATGTTGGTATTTTGGGGGTAACTCATTAAGCTTTCGGGCTTACAGTTTCAGTTTATTGTTTCAGGTTCAACGGATGGCCGTGGGTAGGCAAAGGCGTGACCATACACTTTCTCAATTGATAATTATGATTTCTGGGAACTCTAATGTATAAACTATTTTGAAAACAAATTGTAATAATTGAATAGTTTCAAATGATTTAAAAAGTTTTAAATGGGCTCAAATTTTATGGGTGTTACATTCACCATTTGGACCATACCCTAATCAACCTCTGTAACGCCCGCAAATCCGGGCTAGTCAAATTAAAGGCAATAGGGGTCGAAAACGACTTTTCAACAAAAGATTATTTAGAATAAATAATCTTAACCAAGTTTTAGAGTATGTTACAAGGTTTTCGTACATATAAAAAACGCCGAAATCCGAGTTATAACGAAGAAGTTATGACCCGTTGAAGTTTCGCGACGGAACCGGCACGATACCGGGAAGCGTAAATAGTGAATTTACGATAGAGCGAGATTTAGCCTTAGCGATCTAAACGAAAGTCGTACAATATGTTAAACTAAGAACATCGATAAAAAGAACGCCCAAATCTGACTTCGTATGAGGAAGTTATGATTTTTCTAAGATTTAGCATAGTAGTGCACACCCCGAAATCTGAATTTTAGATCGGTCGACTTTTAGCCGACGGGATCTAAATGAAAGTTGTAGTACTCGTAAATACCAACGCATGGATATAAAGAACGTCGATAATAGAGCTCGTATGCGAAAGATATGGACGAAGCTTAGTCCCTACTTTTCGAGCGCGGCGAATTCGATACAGTTTTGTAAATCCGAGATAGAATGAGAATTAGCCAACGAGGTCTAAATGAGAGTTGAAGATCTCATTAATAGGAAATCAACGGTAAAAAGATAGACAAAAATGGGGCTCGTATGCGAAAGTTATGGACGAAGCTTAGTCCCTACTTTTCGAGCGCGACGAATTCGATACAGTTTTGTAAATCCGAGATACAATGAGAATTAGCCAACGAGGTCTAAATGAAAGTTGAAGATCTCATTAATAGGAACTCAACGGTAAAAAGACAGACAAAAATGGAGCTCGTATGCAAAAGTTACGGACGAAGCTTGGAGACTACTTTACTATACACTTCCTATAAATACAAGGGTGAACTCCTCATATTTTCTTCACACCATAAGCCTCTCTTTCTCTCTCTAACTTCTCTCTAGCCTCCCTAAACCCCTCCCAAGTCTACGGAACCTCCCTAGCACGAGAAGAAAGCCCCGGAGCGCCCGACGGCTCCGAGAAGAAAAGCTTTCGGCTTGGAAACGCTGCTCCAGCGAAGCCCGGTTTTTAATAAAAACTCGCTGTTTTGTCGAGGAAAATTGTTTTGAGATAACGAAGTGCTGTCTGAGTTCGGAATCACCACCTGATCAGGTGAGTGCATAGTCCCTTTCATCTTACACAAAGATATGAAGTATTTTATATAAACTACGTGCTATGTGTGCATATTATCTGAATACTTGCTGTTTATGCTGGATGAACGTTTTATACATGTTTTAAAGGATTTAAACTGTATACGTATTTTATATACACGAATATGTTGGGTATGATGATGGGTAGATGAATGATGAGAGATAGAAGATGACGTGAGTATACATTGGCAGCTATAGACTTAGTGCCTATGGGACAAACACCGGTAGCTATGGACTTAGTACCTATTAGACGTTGGTAGCTATGGATTTAGTACCTGTTGGGAATTGGTAGCTATGGACTTAGTACCTATTAGTTAGACACTGGTAGCTATGGATTTAGTACCTGTAGGAATTGGTAGCTATGGACTTAGTACCTGTTGAGCACTGGTAGCTATGAATTTAGTACCCGATAAGTAAGATATAGCAGCTATGGAATTAGTGCTTTACGAATGAATATCGGCAGCTATGGATTTAGTGCCAGTCCTATAACCCTGGAAGTAAGGGACTTTGGAATAACGAATGCATAATAGATGACTCTTAGGAGTAAAGAAGATAATGGGGATGGATAATTAGGTTAATTGTTTGATGATTGAACATAACAATTATATTATTGTGGGTTGAAAACCCTATGTACTCACCAGGTTTCCCAACCTGACCCACTCAGTTTATTTACATCACAGGTGGCGATATGAAGTGACATTACACTGAGAGATTTAAAGAGATGTAGATCACTAGTGTAAATAATTGTAAGTTCTGTTTATGCTTATGTTTCTGTATTAACGATGACATCCCAAACGTTTTAAGATTAATAAAAATACGTTTCTTCGAAAATGTTTTAATAACGTATTTATCGTGTTTTTCTGGGAACAAATTCCGCAACCTTTTTATAAAATGAAGTACTATGATTTTAATAAAGCATAAACAAAATCGGTCTTTTTCTGGCCGTGATTTTGGGGATGTCACAGTTGGTATCAGAGCATTAGTTTAAGCGAACTAGGAATATGGATTTATTTGTAGACTTAAACTTAGAATGCTAAGCGATGATTGTGAGGTGTGAGCACTAGCTTATTTTAGGAATGATGCCTAAATTGCTTTTATGTGCTAAATGCTTTGTGCATGATATGTTGTTAATTGTTCGGATCTATGGTTTGTTGCCGACCGGATCTGGAAACCTTATGTGTTTAGGATTCTAAACGTACGACTACGGTATTAGAACTAGCATGTAAACGTTTCGGAGCGATAAGGATGATTTAAACATCAAGTAAAGGTCTAAATTCACCTTATTCGGTGTATAGATCGAGATGGTAAGGACCCGTAGCGGAAACGTAAACGCAAATGGGAACAGGAACCAACCCCCAGTGGTTCAGAAAATACCTGTTGTTGAAGAAGTTGCGCCTGAGCCAGTCACCATGGCTGAAGTTCAAGCCATGATTCGGGCTATGTTAGCTGAACAAAGGGAAGAAATGAGACAAATGTTGAATAGGGACGAACCTACCGTACATGTTGAA